CTAACATTCATTTATTTTTAAGCTTAATTGGTGCTTCTGCATACAAACTGGCAAGAACACCAACAGCTTCCATCTCATCAGCTCTGATAAGCCTGGAAATGCTGGGGGTTGCTGCAGGCAGAGATCGGGTACTGCAGGAAGTAGGATTGATGTCTTAATAAGGGGCATTTTGTCCTCCTCATCACTGTGATGCTTCAGGCACTGTGCTTCTGAAGGGCCTTTCTCTAGAGATAAAGAGCTTCCTCATCCTAATTAAAGGTTGCACAGTCCTTTAGAAAAGGTAAGAATAACTTCATTGATCACCACATGACGTGGTAATCCTCCTGAGCAGAATCATATGCAAAAATAAGACTTTCAGTGTTTTTTGTATGGGGAATTAACAGAGAAGTGCAACCAATTCTTCTGTTAAAGCTTTTTTTCCCCCTGCATATACAGCTTCATCCCATAATGTCAGGCACCTATTCTGACACACTCTCCAAATTTGTTCAGCAGCTCAGTTCACACGTGTGGATGTTGACTACATCTGTGATAACATGACCCAGAAGTTCAAACCTGCAGAAATGGTATATTCATCTCACATCAGACCTACTTCTTCTCTCACCAAGGTCTTTGGGAGCTTTTATTGCTCCCATTTATTCAGAGCATGAAAAGCACAGGAAAAAACTCTTCAAGTAATCAAGCAACATAAGGTATAAACAAGATACAAGCTAATGACAGTTACATTGCTGAAATAAATACCACATTATTATGAGGAGCCCCATGCATTGCCATATTATGCAAAAGAAACAAAAAAGGGCCTGCACCAGAAATATTTTTTATGATCAGAAATATTTTAAACACATTGAGTCAACGCACTTTTACTGGATACACTTCCAGCTAATCTACGTAGCATACTTCTCTACTCAAGTACTCACAAGCTAGAACCAGAATCTTTACAGCCAGCTGGATATTTAATTTTGCAAGCTTTTTCTTTATTTAAAGTGTATTTTCTTATAGTTGTCTAAAAAAGTAGCTACAAAGGCAAAAATAAGGCACGAGGAAATGGAATGAAGCTGCGTCAAGGTATGGTCAGACTGGACATTAGGAAATGTTCTCAATGAGAGTGTGTTTGATCACTGCAACAGGCTCTCCAGGGAACTGGTCATGGCATCAAACCTATCAGAAGTCAAGAAGCATCTGGACAATGCTCTTAGCCACATGGTTTAGCTTTAGGTTGTACTGCAAGCAGCAGGGAGTTGGACTCCATGATCCTTATGGGTCCTTTCCAATTTGAGATATTCTATGGTTCTATACAAAAATAATACCTACAGAAATGTTATGATAGCCCTAAGAAATTTTTTCTGACTGTATTTGTCTCCTTTCCTCCTGGCTTTGTGGAATAAGTTGATAGCTGGAGGGCAGGACTACAACTCAGAGGGATCTCAGCAGCCTGGAGGAATGAGCCGACAGGAACTTGCTGGGAGTTTAGCAAGAACATGTGCAATGTCAACTGGCTGGGGAAACCCATGCAGAGGGCTGACAGTCAAGAAGACATGTTCACAGCAGAAAGCCTGAGGATCCTGGCAGGCAATAAAGTCGAGTGTCAGTCACCAATGTGCCTTTGAAGTGATGGAAGTTAAACATGTATTGGGGTGTATCAGCAATAGTCATGGGAAGTGATCACACCCCTCTGAATGGCACTTATGAGAAGATTGTCCAGTTTGGGGCTCCCCAGATGACCTACCGGAGGGAGCCCAGCAGTGGGCCACCAAAGTTCTGCAGGAAGATGCTGAGATAAATGGATTTGTTCAGCTTTTAGAAGGCAGGGCTGAGGTGAAGAAACCTTACTTCTGCCTTTAACTACCTAATAAGAGGGTACAGGGAGGAAAGAATCTCAGAGGAATTCTCAAAGGTGAAGGGTAATAACGAGCAACAGACACAAACTGCAACAGAAATCCCAAACAGATGGCAGGGGAAAAAAAATTAATGAATGGGTGGTTGAATACTGGAACTAGTGCCCAGAGAGGCTGTGGTATCCCCATCCTTGAAAATCTCTCCTTGGAAATATTGAAAACTTGACTGGACAAGTTTCTGGAGAATATAACATAACTTTAAAGTTGACCCTGCTTTGAAAAGGAGCTGGAGACCATGATCTTGAGAAGCCATCTCCAATCAGAGTTATTTTATGCATAAAAGTTTACTGTGTTCTTTGTGTAAATCTGTTTTCATTATGATTAAAATTATTGAGTTTGTTGAATGCTGAATATGATTCATGGCAAGGTGGCATAACTCAGATGCTTCAAAGAGCTCATATGAATGTGTTTCTGGCCCACACACAGCTTCACTCCCTGGCATGGCTACCCATTCAGAGAGAAAAGTAGATTTACTCCAATGTCACAAATAAGTTAACATGTAAAAAAACCTCCAAATTGTCATATTTCCTTTGCATTAGTCATGGGATTGCAGAAGGACAGAGTCAATTTTCAAACATTTGCATAGAGAATTCATCCTCCAAATTTTACTGGAATTCAATATCCAAGCCTTTAAAGATCTACCTGCCACCAAGAAAAATGTCTGGCTTAGACCAGGTGGACCACAGGCTGGGAGATATGGGGAACTCGCTGAGCCCTGCAGGGACTGATTATTACTTCCTTTGAGAAGTGAGGCTTCGCTTCTGACTCACAAATGAACATGATCCTCTTTCCCAAAGAACTGAAATCAAGGCATCTCTCTGTACTTTTCAGTATGAAGAGGCCATATCCCTCCTGTTGTACTGTTGTATCCTTACAGCATTCTTGTACCAGAGATAAGCATCCATAGAATTTCAAACAGTGCACAGATCTGTTTTGAGTGGTGAGCTACTAAGCTGTCTCCCCATATGTCTCATCTGGGCTTTTCCTTGTCATCTAGCAGAGATAATAATTTAAACTGTAACACATTCCTTCACGTTTCTCCCTCATGTTTTGTGCGGAATTGTGACTGCAGTATGGGGCCAGAGAACAAACACGGTGTTCTCTCTGAATTTTAGTCAATGATATTTTTCAATGTCTTTAGGTCCAATAAACTGCAAAGTCTAGTATGTTGGCACAGCTTCTCCAGAAGTACCATTCATAACCTGTGATGGATACAGGGATACAGATCAACTGCTGCTGCTGTCCCTCTTCTCACACCTCCCTTCTCTGGGTGGGAGGTCCTATAAGCATTAGTGAGGCAAAAGAGTGCTGGAGTACCTGTTAGATGAAAAAAGAGAGGCCATCCAGCAGACAAAAGATAGTATAAAGAGATTATCTTGGGTGGAAGAAACTGGGAATAAACCAAGAGAGGTTTACTGTTCTTCAGAATACTTATAATATCAACCCTGGAACTGACTATACAAGAGATAAGAAAAAATAAACACCTTGTCCTAAAGGAAGTGTATCTGTAATGCTTAATTTGGAGTAGATATATTTCCATTTCTATTTTAGAAGGCACTTAACATGCTCTTAGCGTCTCTGTTCTCTAATATACTTTTGTTTCTCTAGACTTTATTAGTAGACAGCTTTATCATAAAAACTGGTGAGTATCACAACAGTTTTACATTTCTTATGTCTGTATGTAAGGAACCTGGAGCAAACATAGGCATTATTTGAAGTCAGTTCTCAGGATATTTTTTAATAATCAGAAACTGAGCAAGCTCACAAGACTAATTCTTCAAATCTCTGTAACTGTGTGCTCAGTTTCATGGCAGCCAGTTTCTAGTATGAGGCAGCAACATGATGGCTGATCATCCCCACTGCATGTATGCCATGTATGATAACTAACCAGCTTTCTCCTGCAAGTTCTAGTGCTGCATTACCATTTCAGAGGTCATTGCCTTTCAGTGAGCCTTACAGCTCTCGGGGGGGTTGCAGAATCACAGGGCTCAGACAGTCTTGCTTCAGAGGTCAGACTTCCTATATGCTCCTGCTCCATTCCAACATTTTCTTAAAGCTTGGCACACTGAAATCTGCAACCCTTCCACACATCTGGGTGACCACCACATGGAAGAGACCTCCCAGTTTATTTTTTTTTAATCGTGAAAGAGTATGACATGGTCAAAATTACATAACAAAAGAAGAAGAGGTTAAAACATCTGTGTCCGCAAATTTGAGTGTTTTTGGCCAGTCCTTTCACTTTTGCTGCATGGCAGCATCCGAAATGTCCTGCGGTGAGCGGAGCAGCCGGGGGCTGCCACTCCGTCACCGCTGGCCGGCGGACGGGCATGTCCCCGGCAGGGGGAAACCACGGCAGGCCGGCAGCAGGGCTTTCGGCAACTGCCCCAGGTTCTTTTTTCTAACAAATGGCTTCCTGGGGAAAATATCCTTGGCGTGTTTGAGCAGGAGAAGGCACGTAAACCCTCCAAGCGGCCGTGGCCAAATCCTTGTCCCGCAGGATCAGCGGGCTCTGCCGGGGCTGGGACGGCGCTGGCTCAGCCCAGGGGCAGCAGGGACAGCGCACTGCGGGCGGCAATCTCCAGCCCCGGCGATGGGACCCCGAGGGCACGGCCTCCCGGGCGGCTCATCCCGGAGGCGGCGGCGGGCACGGCCGCATCGCTGCGGGAACGGGAGCGGGAGCGCGGGCGGCCCCGCCGGCCGCAGGCTCCGCCCGCCGCGCACCTGCCGCGGGCCGGCCCCCGGCGCGGGTGGGCGGGCGGGGGCGGCGGCCGCCCGTGCCCGGCGTGTGCCAGGAGCCCGCCGGTGCCGCAGGAGGAGCAGGAAGCGCCCGGGCGAATCCAGCCGCGCTATCACATGACTCAGCAGCCGCTGCCGCCGGGCTGAGTTCACCGAGCGCCGCGCCGGGAGGGGGAAACCTGCAATGAGGCCTCGGCCCCGCGGCTGCCCCTGAGCCCGCCGTCCTCTCGCCCGGCTCCGCGCGGCCCGGCGCCCCCATTGCGGGAGCGCGGCGGGGGCTGCCGGAGCCGCCTCGGCAGCGCTGCCCGCCGGCGCGCCCCGCTCCCCGCCCTGCGCGGCGGCCCCGGCGCTGCCGCCGCCGGCGGGGGTACTATGCTCACGCGGGTGAAGTCCGCCGTGGCCAATTTCATGGGCGGCATCATGGCTGGCAGCGCGGGCGCCGACCACGGCAGCGGCGCGGACTTGCCCCTCCGCTTCCCCTACGGGAGACCCGAGTTCCTGGGACTGTCCCCGGACGAGGTGGAGTGCTCCGCCGACCACATCGCCCGCCCCATCCTCATCCTCAGCAAGGACACCCGGCGCCTGCCCTGGACCACGGGCTACGCGGAGTGAGTACGCCGCGGCTCGCAGGTGGAGCGCGGCCGAGCCCGCTGGCCGCGCAGGGCGGCGATGCCGGGGCAGCCCCCGGCGGGTGCCCGCGCTGCCGGAGGCGGGGGGAGCGCAGCCCCGGGCCTGCGCGGCGCCGCGGGCAGCGGGAGCGGAGGGGGGAAGGTGCCGGGGGAGGGAGCGGCATCCCCGGCGCCGCGTGTCCGGCCCTGGCCGCGGCTCTGTGCCTGGGTGGTTCCCTCCTGGGAGCCCGAAGAGGCAGACGGTCAGTTGCCCTTGAAAGCCCCCGCGGGAGTGGCCGATACCCGGATCTGCGAAGGATGGCCAGGGACAGCGCCGGGCTCCCCTGTCCGTAGTGACGGCTCCGGAGCCAAGGATGGGGAACCCGCCGGTGAACAGCGGTCTCGGTCCTTGACCCTGGAATAAAAAGGGCTTTTGGTAGGAAACACGGTTTGGTTTGTGCCTGTGTAAATGCTTCTTGCTGCCCGGGAATGGTGAAATGTGTGGGGTTTGGAACACCTTCCTGTGGACCTGACAGCCGTTGTGCTCGCTGGTGGTGACTGGTCACATATCTCTCTCTCAAAGTGCTTTCTAGTTTGGGGAGATGCTTGAGGACCACAGGTTCCAAACCGAAAGAAAAAGAATCCGTTGGCTAGCCCCCAAACTGGGCTTTCCAAATGGTTTGTTGCCCTGACTTACTCATATAATGGTATTTACTTTAGAGGGTGTCTGATCAGGACCTGGTTGTAGACTTGGCAGCCAGGCAAAAGGCAGTGTTCCTTTGGATGCATCCAGCTGGCAGTGGGAGTAGCTGCAGAGGCAAGGCACGTCCTTGCACTTGATGCCTTTATCGGTAGGCACATTGTTTTCCTTGAGGATTCTGGGTGCAGGATTCAGTATTTGGTTTCTTTCTGTTAATGCTTCTAAGTCTTGAGCATGTCTGGCTATCCATGTTGCTACCAACTCAGAGATTAATGAAGTTACTAAATTAGCCCTTCCAGACTACAAGTCGTCTCTTCAGACATACATGAGTTCCCAAAAAAACTCCAGCAAAAACTACAGTGAAGGCTTCACATTGTTAATGAGCAATCACTAGCTTTATTTAAAAGGTTGTTACATCATTGGGGATGCTGAAATGGGAGAATTAAAGAGAGATTTAAAGAATTTTAAATTGGATTGTTCTCCTCAGATAAATAAAGAATTGAATAGGTTACTGAGTAAATTCCTATAAACTGTAAATTTAAATATTTAAAAATAAGCTCTAATTGTTCTGCCACTATATTAGTCCCTTAAAAAGCACTTCTTTACCGAAATAAGTACATGCTGCTATTTTCAGCTTAGGCAAAGTTCTGTGGCTTTCAGCAAGTAACTGTAATTGCAAGTTGGTGACGAAGTGGAGGGGAGGTTCTCTGGCTCCCAGGTGTGTGCATCCCATGAGCTTCACCTGACGCTGCCAGGGCAGAAAAATGTCACTGCTGGAGAGTGAAGGTTTCATTGACCCTGTCAATAAAACCTGATGGGAGAGAGTATTTGGAGATAAAGTAAACGGCTCTGGTGGTCATGAAAGCAGAACATACCAGGATTGTTTTCATATACTTGTTGCTCTTCCCTCTTGAGCTTTGAGCAGCTTGGTTAATTGGGAGGCATAAAAAAGGCACTAGCTTTTTCAGTTCCTGTCGTTACCTATGTGAAAAGAAGTTGCCCTTTTGTTTTTTCTCTGGTGGCTTTTTTGTTGTTGTTTTTGTTAGTTTGTTTGGTTTTGGTTTTTTGTCTCATCCCCTTCTCTTGCAGTTACTGGCTCTGATGCTGGTAGAGCAGATCTAAGGGAAAGGTGGTACTTGTTAGAGAGAACTAGTGAATGTGTTACTACCCTCTGCCCAGAAGTATGTATATGATGTTCCAAAATTGGGATTCATTCTAACCAGAAGATCTCAAAATGTTCACTGCAGAGAAGCTGACAGGAAAGTGGTGCCACCAAAATTGCATTGTTTTCCAAAGGCAAAGCATTAAAGAATACAGAAATAGAAGAAAATATGGACAATCTCAGATTTTGACAAATATGACAATTTTTTTTGTTTGTTTTACTCGTGCTGAGCTATTACCAGGCTTTCTGAAAATACTTGCAAAGACTTGCTGTATGTGTTGAAACTGTTTTCCTTTTGAAACAGATTTGAGTTACATAGAGAGAAGAAATTGAGAGTACCAGGAAGATGAAATCACTAGTATACATATTCTGAAGTTTGTTGGCTCGGGTAAAGCAGGGAATAAAGTACTTTCACGCTATTATTTAGCATTTTGTTAATGTCTGTGTTAAGGAAACTATCAGAACAATGTTTGCCTTTTGTTACAATACAAGTACTTACAAGAATGTTAGGAGGAAGTCTGGTGTCCTCACAAGCAGCTTGTGATGTAACACAAAGGTCAGCTATTTAACTCACATTTTGCTAGATGCCTTAGGTATGAAGACATGAGAGAAGACATGCCATACCTGGGGTGTGCCAAGGTGCAGCTTCCCTGAGCTATTGCCCTTTCTGTGTTTTCATGTTTTAGCAAATCAGCAAAAGTGATTTCAGTGTTTTGTTGGTTGGGGTGCCTATGGACACAGGGATTTTTACTTCCTGAAGCTAATGAAAGGATTGTTGTAGACTTAGAAGGTGGGGTTTTGGCCCAGAAGTTATAAGGAGAGTGTGTGCCACCTGTACTGTGTTTGCCCTGATGTTGTGAGCCATTGCACAGCAGGGTTTGAGTCAGTGGATTTATGTTCCACGCCCAGCACCAGCATCTGTCTCACTATCTTTAGGAAGAAATTCTGGCACTGAGAACAGGTCACCTGGAGGCTGAGTTTCAGGAAACCATTTGTAGTGTTCATGTTCTTTAATTATAAAACATGTCAGTTTACAATGATACTGGAGTTCCTTGATGTTGTCGTGTTGACATCCAAGCTGGAGAAGGCATTTTGGGGTTAGACCTGCTTCTCATTCCAGACTGAAGCAGTTTCTATCTACAAAATATGCACTTTTTTAGGGGATTCCTTTTGTTTCTTTGATTCCTGAGGATTAGTATTTCTTACTAAACAACATATTGACAAAGTAGCTAACCCTGTTGACTATTTCTTTTCCCTAACATCTGTGTGGTATGGGCCTGTTCATCTGACTTACTCCCCTGGAAGCATTTCTCCTCCACTCCACTTTCTTCCTCCTCTTGTACTGAACATTTTGTGTAATTGGTATTTTTGTAATATTGCTCATTCATGTCATGTATTTTAACTTATTTTTAAAATTACCTACCTAGTTCTATGATATTATGAAGTGAAATGTAAACTAGTTTTTATTTTTTGTTATTAATTTTCTCTCTTTTAATGGTGTGGTCATTACAAAAAACACACAAGCAGACAAATGAAATATACTTGGTGCTGAGATAAAATATCAGTGTTTCTTAGCATTTTACTGGGAATCCCATAGGGACCCAGCTCTCCTTAGTCAGTAAGCAGCCTAAAAGTTGTCTTCTGAAATGAGTTGTTTTCTGTCCTGCTGTATCTTCCTTGCATGGGAGCTCTGAGACCTTGAATTTCATTTCACCTCATACAGGATGGCAAAAGGCCATGTTTCAAAGAGATATTCTTATACCACAGACACTTGTCTAATATTAGTCAAGCTCCATAGGGGAAAAATTAAAATTGTGTCCTACAATCCAGTAAGCTTTTTAATTGTCTTTAGAAGTATCATTATTAGAAATAAACTTCATTTTTGCACAAGGGCATAACATAATTTTCTGCATGTGGTTAGCTGGTGTGCATCAGGAATGACCCTGGGAGAGGGTAGTCTGTTAACAAATGTTCTTGTAAGTCTGCCTTTAATCCAGAGGAGTAAGGAGATTTGCTGCTCTCTGAAAAGTTAAGTGATTTATTTGAGTAAGGGAGGGTGGGAGGGATCTGCCTCACACTTTATTTAGTTGTTGCCTTGCCTCTCATCTGCAAGCAGCTGCACTGGATCTCCTCTAGAGCTTTCCATGTCTGAGCCACGAGCTGGTTTTTGAGCTTCTGCGTGGATTGTCCTGTTACTGGGAGGGGAATTTCTTCTTTGGTCCCTTCCTGTGCTGTTGTCAGGGTGTTGGTAAGACCTCTTCCCTGCAGCACTGCTGATAAGCAGCCCTAGTGTTCAACTCTGAAAGTAACTGGCAAAGTAAAGGCAGTAGCAGAGAGTATGTAGCATGAAATGACCCAGATGATATTCACTGCATCTAAACTCTACCCAGAACAGTATTTTCCACCTTTTCGTCCTCTGCTTTATCTTCTTCCTTCTGTGAAGCCAGAGGATGAACAGGGTGGAGCAGAGCTCTCCTCTCTTAGTTGAATTCCCTTGACTACATATGGCACGATAAAATAAATGCTAAATTTGCAAATGACAAAGAACTAGCCTGCTGCTTATGCTGGTGGAGTTGCAGAGTAACTGCAACTGAGTAGCATTTTGTGGTAGAAAAACAAGCTTAGTCATTTTCCGTCCATTTTGAATGCTTGAATGTATATTCCTACAGTCTGAATCCAGTACTAAAATATCTATATCTATCTATATATATATAATATATATACTAAACTATACTATAAACTATATATATAGTTTATATATATATTTATTGATATAAACTATATATATACCATAAACCATACAAAAGTATATATATAATCTATATACTAAATATATATATATACACTATATCTATATATACATACACACACTATATATATATGTATACACACAATATGTATATATACACTATACAAATTGCATTTCTAAATGGTATGAATCCTGGGGATTGGACCATAGCTGATTGCTTTTGTGTCACATGTGTCCCTCTCTTTGCTCTTGCCTTTCTGCCATATCTTTGGAGAACTTCAAAAGGTACTATCAAATAACACTTCAGGGACAGGGGGAAAGATTTGATTGTATGTTGTCTGTGTCCTCATACAAGAGGCAATTTGACTTGCCTTTTAAATTTATTTTTT